GTGTTTGCGATGAATGAGATGTTTTTTGGCATTAATTGGTATTTCACATTCCTGCTTGATTATATTATAAAAATCTGTATGATATCTACATATCAAAAGAATTTTTAAACGATATCAAAATCAAGTTGACATCTTTATTTAAGCTAATGTCAATCCATCATTTATCAATGGCTAACTTTTGCGCTTTATTTCAGTCCTGGTAGACATCCAGTTATTTTCTTGCTCCCTCAAGTCTGAATACCCTTTATTAGAAACACATACTTAAAATACAAACATATTCATTTTTTACACTTCATAAGGTAGTGCATAGCAGGAATGATCCAGGAATGCTTTTATGAAAGTGCTACAAACAGCCTTCTAGCTGCAAAATATGACAGACAGAGTGAGAAAGAGAAAGAGAAAGAGAAAGAGAAAGAGAGATGAATTGGAAGCATTTAAATTTAATTTAACTTTTGAAAGGTAGTATTTTAAGATTTTGCAATAAAGTCTTTTTTTTTAAATGAATTGCAATTTTATACGAATAATTGGTGACTTTAAAGGTGCAGTAAGCGATTTCTGAGAAATGCTGTTGAAAGTGGATATGACCGAGCACCAAAACACACTTGTAGCCAATCACCAGTAAGGGGCGTGTCCAGTAGTGATGGGGGAGGTGCCTGTGTTGAATAGCATGTTTAGAATTTTGGGGGCGGAGGCAAGATAGGGGTGTGATTCTTTTGGGTAGGGGCGTGTTTGTTTTGGTGATTTCAAATATCAACAGCATTTCTCAGAAATCACTTACTGCACCTTTAAGTACCAATTACTACCAATACTAATCATTTTATATTGTGCCGTTTCTGATTTGATTATGTCATGCTTCATGAGACAAGTATAGCCTAGATCATTCACTTTTCATAATTCATTTAATAATTTTTGATTTTGTTTCAAATCAGAGATGGCAAATGTGGAGTTGGTTGTTTTGGTTCATGGATTATGGTTGGATCATGGTTTGGTATACTGTGAAAAATAGTGTAGTAACAGTTTAAATGACTTGTTAGCAGGTAGGCAGTTTTATTCAATAATTTTAAATGTACACTCTGAGAAAAAAGGTACAAAACTGTCACTGGGGTGATGCTCATATACTAATATGCACACTTTAGGTACTAAAATGTACTTTTTAAGGGGAGGCCTTCATGCATTCTTACTTATTTACACTGTTAAAGAGTGTTTCTCTGTTTCTCATGCTAAACATGGCCAAAGTAAAAGAAATTTAAAAAAAAAACGAGTTGGATGTATGACAGAGTATTTCTGTGGCAAATATTTTGACCACGAAATCAACAATGTCACCAAAGAAGTGTATTTTTGGTAGTGAGGAAAAGCTAACCTTGCTAACCAAAGTCAATAAAGTTTTTGTTCCCGTTTTATGTTGATGTCGCAGCTTGCAGACGATTGCTACGCAAAGGCTTCTCGTGCTCGTGATTCTTTAGCTCCACCCACGGCACACCTCCAGGAGCTCGACTGTTTTTGGAGAGGAGCATAAAGCTGTATCTGTTTATTATAAATCTGGTTGGAAGCAGGCAGAGAGGGGCGGAAAACGGCTCTTTCATTTTCTGCATTGAGGACTTGGCTAAAACATGGTAAATCATGGCCGTGGGACAGCAACTAGGAATGGCATTGACAGGATATAAAACATTGCATGTACTCGGTTGGCTCTCACTCATCCCACACGCACACACACACACACACACACACACACACACAATCACGCTGTCTGTGTTCCACATAATGAAGAGACCATCTACCATCTCCTCTCGAGATGCGATTGCTACGCAAAGGCTTCTCGTGCTCGTGATTCTTTAGCTCCACCCACGGCACACCTCCAGGAGCTCGACTGTTTTTGGAGAGGAGCATAAAGCTGTATCTGTTTATTATAAATCTGGTAAAACTAAAGACTCTTCAGAGATATGAAGGATGCAATACTACTCTATAGCTAACCAAGATTAACATGAGATTGGCAGAAACTGTGTGTGTTATGACCCCTTTAAGGTACTAATACGTACCATTTAGGGGTAGCATTTAGCATTTGTACCTTAGAGTACTGTCCAAGTGACAGCTTTGTACCGTCTTTTCTGTGAGTATATATATAAAGTCATCTACTTCTACCCCAGAGGGTTAAGTTAATAATAGAAAAAAATTCTAAAATGTTCTCTTTTTTTTTTCTTGCATGAATAAAATCTGTTAAATTCGATGTTTTCACACAAAGCACATTGTTTTAGGTTGCATAACAAAACATTGATAATTTAGGGGATTCACTCCAGTTATCACTGCTAAACCTTGTCACCGCAGTGTGCATTTGGCCAAATACTTCTAACATGCATCCAAACAACCACGAGCTCTGAGCTTTCAAGAAATTAAACAGTGCGGTTTGTTTGCTTTCATTCCAAATGAGTCTGAAATTTCATTAGAACCGAGAGCCCGAGAACATCAAGCCTCTCAATAGGCTTAACGACACCCATGATTTCTCTTTTCTCGTTGAATATGGAGAGACTATAAAAATTTAATCAATATGTTCTAAATCAAATTGGTTTTCATATTTGTTCCTTTCAAAATATAATATGCAATCATGGAGTGCATGGGCCTGCAGTCAGATTTATTTGATTATTGGGGACAAAGAAGATGTCAGCCTTGTGTTTCATTGCAGGTCTGTTGAGCGATCGAGCGGGACGAGAATGAATGTTTGACAAAGAGTGAAATATAGACGCTACAGAGACAAACATCACCTGCCACACATACAAACGCACACAATTCTCAGAGCAAAACACTATCAACAACCACAGCAGGGTGGAAAGCAATGAAACTCTTATATCGTCTGAGACGCATGCAAGCGCTAACGCACAGACTTCATGGTCCAGATATATCACACATTTCTATCTAAAGCTAAACAATATATACATATATTCATGATTCACATGCATTATTCACATGAGAGACCATTTCATGTGGTATATCTGAGGCCATAAAGTCTAAATGCATTATTGCAAGCGTATATATGACCATCATGTAAAAGTGCAGTTGGTTCACCGCTGACTAAAATGAATGTTTACACCCAGATGCCAGCATGATTACACATATGCTTTTATCCAAATTTGTCAAGAACACTTATATTTCCTGCCAAAATAAAAAAGTTATTTTGCATAAAGAAAAGGAAGTCTATTTCAAGACTATCGAGATATTTTATATTCTTTTTCTTCCTCTTCTTCTTATAATTATAAATGAATGTATTACTTGTTAATATATTACAATTAATGTTTATTATTAAAATTAATAAGTATAATTTGTTATAAATATATCTAACACACACACACACACACATATATATATATATATATAATTATTTATGAATATGACAAGCAGATTCTTGTAATTTCATTATCATTCTATAATA